AAAGGATGAGAGTGCGTGTCCACCTCACGGCGTGTGGGTTTGCGCGCGGTGGAGTGTGAAGTTAGTTAAAACGTAAACGTTGCCTCCTCTACCGTACCCTCTTTCGCGACGCGGGGCTGGCCTGCACTCGCACCGCGTCTCCACCCTCGCTGCCGCACAGCGCACACTCGCACCAGAAGCCCCAACGCTCGTGCAGCTGCTCGCGTCGCTCGGCGCGAGTCGGCCGGCGCTTGCCCGTGGCGGGCAAGCCGAGGTAGCTGAAAGAGAGCTCCTCGCCGCCCTCGATGCGGCGCCGCGCGCGCAGCTCGTAGCAGCCGCTGCCGCACCCGCCGGCGTCGGCGGCCGCCGGTAGCCAGACCACCTCTGTGTTTGGATCGCAAGCGTGGTTGACGAGTCGCAGGCGCGGCAGCAGCACGGTCGAGTAGAGCGCGTCGTCGTCGTCGTCGCCGTCGCCGGCGGCGGCAAGGCCCTCGCTCAGCCTCGCCACGTTCGAACGCAGCGCCGCCGAGAGCCTCGCTAGCCCGTCGGCGGTCACCCCGAGCGCCTCGGCCCACTGCGGACGCGGTGCCGCCGACACCTCTGCCTCCGCCTGCGTGTAGGTAGGTGGGTAGGTGTTACCTCACACACTGCCTAGGCAGAGACAAGGAGGGCCCCCGCACACACGAACCCACACATACAGAGAGGGACGAGTGCACGCATTGGGCATCAGAGAGCCATAAGTGTTTGTTGTTGTTTCTCCGCTTGCGTGAAGGTGCACATTATGATATCTGGTGTATGAATAGTAGAGAAGCAAAAGAAGACATCCGCCTGCTCGAGGTGCTCCGCGCAGTGGTGCAGCGCGAGTGGTCCGCGGAGGAGGCCCGCCCAGCGAGGGCGCGAGAGCAGCTCCCGCAGGAGCTCCTGTTCACAGCTGCAGGTGTGAAGAGACGCCGTTCAACGCGATGTGGACAGCTCCCGCAGGAGCTCCTCGGGGTCGGTGGAGCGAGGGGGGCGCCGGCCGCCGTCGCCGTCCGGCACGCTCACGGGTGTGTCTCGCGCGAAGCAGCCTCCCGCCTCGACGGGCGCGGCGGCCACCAGTCCGAGCCCCCGCTCGTCCGTGCGGACGACGAACGTCCCCTGGGGGGGGCAAAGCGCCGTTTCCTCGCCGCCAACTTCTCCTTCGCCTCCTCCTCCGATGGAGCGGCAAAGCGCAGCTCCCTCGCCGCCTCGAGGGTGCTTAGCGCCAGGACCTGGACGGTGGTCTGGGGGAGGCGCGACCGCGAGGCGCGCCTCGAGGAGGGAGAGCACCGATTCTCCGCCGGCGCGGCGGGGGGGGTCGCTAGGGCTATAGGGGCCGATTCACCTCGCCATGCCCCGCCCTCGCAGCCTCGGCGCAGGTCGACCCTCGCGTGGAGGTGGGCCACGACCAGGCGGCGATGGTGCGCGCCTACCTCAACCGCGGGAAGCACGGCGGCCTCGGCACCGGCTACGGCATCGACGAGCGCGCGGCGCTCGTGCTCTCGCTCTACGACTGCGCGGGGCGCAACTTCACCGCGGTGGGCTCCAAGGGCTTCCAGTACTGCTTCGAGCGGCCGCACCACCCGCTCGAGCGCGTGGCGGTCGAGCGGCGCGGCGCGGCGCTCTCGCTCACCTACCGCGCGCACGACAACTCGACGCAGCGGCCGCTGCTCGTCCACTCCAACGGCGCCGGCGCCAAGGGGCGGCAGGTCGCGAGCAGCCCCGTCTTCGCGCCGCTGCGCGAGCAGCTCTCGCTCGCGCGCGAGTCGCTCCTCCGCCGGCGCATCCTGCTGCTCGAGTCGCCGGCGGCGGGGCCATGCGCGCTGCGCTCGCTCGGCCACGCCCTCGACTCGGCGCGCCGGTCGTGTCTCGCGCAGTCGGCTTGCCGGAAGAAGTTCAATCTCGCGCCCGCCGCCTCGCCCCATGCACAAATTCCGTAAACGTTTCCAAACTAACACCCGCTCGTACCTCAGTCCAGGTCGACATCCGGATCCGCGAGCTCGGGGACGGACGCACGTCGTGTCCCGAGGGGCCGCTGGGTTTGTGTTGCGGGTGTTCTTCCACCAACTTTTCTCTCCACCGATGGTATGTCATTCTAAAAATCTCGTCATCATCGATAACAAGCGTTTTGCTTTGCTGCCGCTTTTTGCATGCTATCCATAACTCCAAGTTTAACTCGCCACTTTTCGCGTACTCGCGCTGACCTTGCGTTCGCAAGGTGGTTTTTCCTTCACGAAATTGCAACAAAAAAACACAAAAAATGAAATCAAGCTCTGGACGCCCCTCCTCAAGACCTCCTCGACGGGCGTTGGCACCGCCTCGAGCGGCGGCACGCCCACCTCCGTTGGCCACTCCTACGCCTTCGGCAGCACCGAGGAGAAGGCCCGCCGCCTGAACATGGGCTGCAAGGCGCGCGGGCAGCCCGGCCAACCCTTCTCCCACAAGACCGGCCACGGCTACGTCAAGGCGCATCGCGGTTTTTACCACGATGCGATCTTTGTCAAGCGCAACAACTTCAACCTGCTGCTCCACGAGACGTTCGGCGGCGGCTTCTCGCCCACCGCCGTTCTCAAGCTGCGCCGCCTCGCGCGCAAAGCCGCGCGCGGCAGCGTCGACCGCACGGCCTACTCGCCCAAGTACTCGCTCTCTTTTATGTCCCACCATGCAGAGCGCATCTCTCTCTGTGTTGTGCGAGGCGTGAACCGCGCCATATTGAGAGCGAATGGCGCGCCCTCTCTGAGTGAGGCAGGCTGCCCTGCACAGCCTGCTGGGCACTCTCCCGACGAGCGGCACGCCACGCGGGCCCGCCGCGGGCGACGTGTGAGCACGCCGCCGTCGAGCAGCGCGCCGCGCGAGCCCGCCGCCGGCGACGCGATCACAGAGAGCCGGCAGGTCACTCCCAGAGGGCCAGGCGAGGCCCCACACAATGTTGAGAATGTGCCCTGGAGCCGCGCGAGCGTCCGGTGAGCCTCCGCACCAAGCGCGCGGCCGCCGGGCGCATTCGCGGCGGCAGCGGCCGGGGGCGGAGCGCGTGCATAGACCGTTGTTATGGCGCGGAAACAAATTGGCGCGGCGCTCCGCCTTCTGCCTCTCCGCCGCCCGGCTCGTTGTGCGAGTATATGGGCCACGATGTCTCAAATATGAGGGGTTTTGACTCCTATAGGCTCCTGACGCTATCCCTGGCAGCTCTAATGACCGGGATCAGTAGTGCTATGATAGAGGGTGCCCATACTAGCGCAGGAGCTGCCACACTCGCCCGGACCGTCCCCCTCTGGGGCCGGTTCCGCAGCCAGCGAGAGCCGACAGCGGGGCCGTGCCGCGGGTGCCTACTGCCGAGTGCCACAAACACTGCGCCGTCCCGCCACCACCTACAGGCTGTCTTGTGTGATGGTTGGGATGTCCAAACGCCACCATCTTGGCTCTTGCGACCTCAAACCCGCGAGCTGTATGGGTGGTCCTGACGTCGACAGACGCCCGATGACCACGGTGAAGCTGAGCCGGAACGCGTCGACAAGTCTCGTCTGAGCCCGTGGCGGTCGCCGGCTGAGTCGCTGTGCACGGACCGGTACCTCAGGCGTCACCTCCGCAGCCTCAGGTCTCACACTCCATCACCTCCGCCAGGACGCCGTCGGTGGCACGCTCGGCGGCGAGTTTGTGGCAGCTCCATTCTCGAGTACGGCGTCGAGCCTACTCACTCCCGTTGGTTCGGCACACTCGGTGGGGTCCACCGAGTGTGCCGAACGCGCGAGCGGTGCGTCCTGGCAGCCCGCGCAGGCTGCGGAGCTGCCACAAACTCGAGACACGCTTTTTTGGGACATTTTCGACGCTTTTGGCCCATACTCGCACAACAAGCCGCCCCGCTCGGCGCGTGCGGCGACCGCGCGTGCGCCACGTGAGCCCGCAGCCCTGCTCTCTCCTACCACGAAGTCGCCCATGCACCTCAGGCCTCAGGAGCCCGCCCGCCCGGCCGGAGCAGCCCCCACGCGTCGCCGCAAGGCCGCTCGAATTGGCCGCCCTCCGTCCCCCTCAATATCCTTCCCGCTCGCCCCCCCCCCCCCCTCCTCGACTGCACTCCCTTTTTACCTACATAAAATAACTTTTAGAAGAAAGCTCCCTCTCACGACACTGGGCACGGGACTGAAAATAAGAAAAGAAGTGCTCCGGCCTCCGCGCCCTAAGAAGCACAAGGACGCACCGAGAGCGAGACGCAGCCCGTCAGCTGTCATTCTTCTCAAACCCGATTGCCACGAAGCCCTTGGCCTTTGGGTCGGAGCGCACGCCGTCGATGACCGCCATCTCGCCAGCCGTCAGCTCGAAGCTGTACGCCGCGAGGTTCTCGTCCATGTGCGCAGGGTTGCTCGTGCCCGGGATGGCGACGACACCCTTCTGCAGCGCCCAGCGAAGCATCACCTGTAGTCGTAAGCGTCACCAGTCATCTTGTGAGCGGAGCTGCTCTTAGTCCTAGAAGATGTAGGATTGCGAGCGTAAGCATCACCTGCGCGACCGTCTTGCCCTTGGCGCGCGCCACCTCCTGCAGCGACTGCACGGTGAAGAGCGATGCGTGCTGCATCATGGTGCCCTGGAAGGGGCTCCATGCCGTCACGACGATGCCCTTCTTCTGGCAGTAGTCGACGACGTCCTGCTGCCAGTCGGGCGCCCACGGGTTGTACTGGACCTGGTTCACGCTCACCGGCGCGAGGCCGAGCGCCTCGAGCGGCTGTATCTGCGAGATCTGGAAGTTGGACACACCCAGGTTACGGATCAGGCCCTGCGCGCGAAGCGCCGACAGCTTGACCCACGCGTTTGCGCGGCACTCGGCGGCCGTGCCGTTGGCGCACTTGCCGATCATGCCACCGATCCCCTCCGGGTGGTGCAGCAGCACCAGGTCGAGGTAGTCGAGCCCGAGCTGCTGGAGCATGAGCTTGAGCTCGACCTCTGGGCTCAAGCCCGAGAAGAAGCGAGGCCCGAGCTTGGACGTCACAAAGAGCTCAGAGCGTGGCACGCCGCGGTCGGCGGCCGCTGCGATCGCGTGGCCAATCGCCTCGTTGTTCATGTATAGGTAGGCGGCATCCAGGTGGCGCCCGCCCTTGAGCAGGTACCACAGGACCGAGCGGCTCACTGAGTGGAAGTCGTATGCCGTCGCTCGGCAGCAGAGGCCGAGGCCGAGCATGGGGAAGTTGTCCTGCGTCCCGAGCAGCGGAACGAACTTCTCGCCGCTCGGACGCGCGGCGGGCATGAGGTTGGCAGGCACCCGCGGCGTCGGCGTGCGGTCCTCCCACCATGAGTCGCCCACGATGGTCGCAGGCAGATAGCCGCCGGCGAGCGGGATGATCGTTGCAAAGGCACGGCCCTCCGGGATGTGCGCTTGCGAGAAGAAGCCGATGAGGATTGCCGCGAGCGCAAAGGCGAGCGCGCACGGGTAGAGGCAGAAGATGCGCAGCAGCTTCATGTTCATGTGAGAGCTCTGATGTACTCGATGGGCGCCCCGGAGGCTGTGATGAATAACGGTCATCACCTCCGCGGCTACCGCGCTTTCGCTCGACGACACCGTGGAGAATCGCACCGAGGACCTTGCCGAGGCGATAGGCCGAATCACTTTGGGCCCCGACCCCGCCCCCACCCCTCGGGGTGGGGGCACCCGCCCCTGTCGGGCACCGCTTGCGGCGCCTGGCAGGGGCACCCCCTGGGTGGGGGCCGGCGATTCCCATGCCGGCTCTCCGCCACAACCCCCGCCGGGAGGGAATCCCTGCTCACAGAAAAGGGCTCCGAGCCCTGTCTCGCGCACGCCCCTGGCGGGCGCCGCGGACCAGTTCCGCGAGCGCTCGTCAGCGGGTGGTGTGCGGTTCTTGCCGTAGTTCCTCTTCGGTCGCCTAGCCCCGGCGCCGTCTGTCGGACGCCTGCGTGTCACGAGTGCGAGCCGCTCGCGGTTCGTACACCCGCTTGCGGGTTCGAGTGGCGGGCCATCCCGCTTGCGGGATGGCTTAGCGGGTTCGAGCCGTCACACATTGGCTGCCGGGGTGTGCCGAGGGGGGGCTGGGTGGGCGGTAGGCCGTCATTGCCCGGCGCTGCTTGCAGCGCTCTGGGTGGTAGTGGCGGCGCTCCAAGAGTGGTGCTCTTGGGAAGAGGTTCCTCCTTTCCGCTCCCCCCCCGCAAGGCGCGAGACACACACGGTTATTTGCTCCCTCGCCGAAGTGCCTTACTCGGTCGTCGTGGCGTCCGCGCGCCACGCGTTCCGTGCTGGGCGCAAGTTCTGGCGAGTGTTTGCATTGAGCGGGGTGGGGTGCGCCCCAAGCCTACAGGCCCACGCCCTACCCCTTCTTGCCTGGTAGCAAAGTTTGCAAGGGGCATCCAAGGTGTCAAAGAAGGCAGGGTCGAGGACAGGTAGGGCAAAGCAAAGGCATGGCGGTGGACGGACGAAAAAACACCCCCCTTTTTATGCCGGACCCTGGCCATGGCCTCTCTGGGGGTGAGCTGGGCCGGCCGCCTCCGGGTCCGCCGCTCGCACGGTGGGCTCGCGTCCGGGAGAGCATCCGAGACCCGCGGTTGTCCGCTCGCTGGGCGCGACCTACATGGAAATCCACTGCACACAGATCTGTGCTTTTGGCGCCTATTGCTCGCTCTCTGTGCAATCGCAACGCCAGAGGCCGTGCTTGGGGAGTGTGTCGCAGTGCTGCTACGTCAGTGGATTGAGCCGCGACGCAGGCTCCATCGGTGAGCTGCGGCGGCGCACCGGCCGCTCCATGCATGCTCTCCGGCGAGCCGTCGCAAACGCGTTTCCGTCCGCCCGTTTCATCGAGTTTGCCCGAGTGGTAAAATGCAATCGAATCTGCCCGAATGGTCAAGTAAAACTTTGCCTTTCGTAAAAGTTGCCCGAGTGGTCTGTGGGGAAAAAACGAAAATCGAGACGGACTTCTTGAACGGCCGGGCAACATGTCTTCCTTACTATTATTAATTGATGCTTTTTGCACGGCTGACCCCCCCCCCCCCTCCCCCGCGCCCACTCCCTGCCCTCTCCCGCCACGCACTCCGTCAGAGCCCCCTCCCCTTTTGCACAACAGGAATTTTGACAATTAACAAGATCTTCCGCTGTCTCCTGCAGGCGAGGGAAACACAACTCGATGGGGCTGCCCCATCCCGGAGTGGTTCGATCCCACATAAATCCGAGACGGTGATGGATGCGTCGTACGGTGGTCTCATGCCCAGGGGCCATGATGTCGGTTCCCCACCGGACTTTTTTTGTAGTGGAGAGAATGCAGGAATCTTTCTGCTATAACCGACACTGCCATCGCTCTCCTCTATTCAGACCAGATGGTGAGTCTTAACTGTAAATTACCGTCAAAAAGCTGTCAGAACGGCTGTCAGAACACTGTCAGAACGCTGTCAGAACGCTGTCAGAACGCTGTCAGAACGCTGTCAGAACACTTTTGTGGGTAGGGTACTGTCAGAACGTTGCCAGCACGCGAGAGCGGGCCAAGTGTGAACATCTGCAAGACGCGAGCGCCGCCGCCTCGCCGATCTCCCCCGCCTTTGCAGGCTCCTTTGCGGGCGCGGCGCCAGGGGGCGGCGGCGCCCGCTCGAGCCCATCCCGCTGATCTGCCTCGGCTGCGGGCACCGCCTGCTCGGCCGCCTGGCCAGGGCAAGGCGAGCGGCGGCTGGGCTGCGGCGAGGCCGCACTGCCGACGTTAAGTCTCGCTGCCACTGCTGCTGCTGTTGCTTTGGCGGCGACAAGCGCGTCTCTGCGGCGCGTGTCGCGGAGGAGCAAGGGCCGTTTGGCGGTGGTGCCAAAGGACGGCGCGGCGGCGTCGCAAGCGGCACGTTCGGTCCCTCGTGACCCGAGGCTGCCGTCTTGGAAGCAGCCTTCGCGTCTAACTGGACCGCCGGGCCCGCACATCGCACATTGTGCTGCGGCGCTTCGGCGTGGCTGCTGCCGGGCCGCAGCTTCTTCGGCTCAGTCGCGGGGCTCCAGCCTGCGCCGCAGACCATCGCAAGAGCGCGTTTGCTGCCTCGAGGCCCCGGCATGATGGCGGCCTTGGCGTGCTCCTGCTCGACGGTTACAGCTGTTTGCGCTCCCGCTTGGTGGGATGCAGGCATTTCTTTTTAAATTGTCAGAACAGATTGTCAGAAAGGCGAACTTGGACTCGAAGTTGAAAGTTGAAGTTTGTGTCAGAACGGGGACCAAGTTTGTGTCAGAACAGGGCCTACGTACGCCTCAACGTGAGAGTGTCGCCTTGGCGCTTGGGAGGACGTGCTGTGTGTTGAGTCCGTCCGTGGCTCGGAGGGAGACTTCAAGACAGGAAGAGGGAAGGAGCGGGGCAACTGGGAACGTCAGAACCCCTGAGCTGTGAAGAGAGGGGAGGATTTTGCGCTGTCAGAACGCTGTCAGAACGCTGTCAGAACGCTGTCAGAACGCTGTCAGAACGCTGTCAGAACGGCCAGGTCTCTGTCAGAACAGGTGTGGGAGCTCCACAAACCAGGTTGCCTGCACTGGCACCGTGTGCGTCCTCGCGTGCGCGTGTGCCTTCGTCCGTGCTAGGACGTGCGAGCGACTAGCCACTGACTGACTGTCCAATCGTACTCCTGTGCTAGAGATGAGAGCGTGCGACGGCGATGGGGCGGTGGAGGTGAGAGCGTGAGACGGCGTGATGAGACGGCGGTGGAGGTGAGAGCGTGAGACGGCGAAGGGCGTCGGCGAAGAGAGGGAGGAGCGGCAGGACAAGCGTCTCGGAGCACGGCGCCTGGTTGAAAGGACAGCGTGGGCGACTCTGCGTGGTTGACCCCTGTACTCCCACGCCTCTCAGGGCTTTTAGTCTGGCCGAGTCAGCCCGAGATGCTGGGGCGAGCCTTGGTGAGACTGCGTCAGCTGTTCCCACAGCAGGCTGGAAGTACCTCGTCGCCAGGTTGACCCCTCCTGACCGCTCCCGCAGGGGGCCGACGGCAAGCCGCCCTCCTCGCTCTCCGGTGTCGCCCTTCAACCCCGCTGGCAACCTCCATCGGTCGCTCCTAGCCGGCAGAGCTGCCCCGCCTCCTCGACGCCGTCGCCCGACTAGTTGATGTGAGTAGTTTCCTCGCCAATCTCCCAGGCGCAGCTGCCCCGCCTCCTCGACGCCGTCGCCGCCCTCCCTCCGGTACCTTAAGGTACAGGTCGATAAATCATAAATAGCTGAACTGTCCTGGACTGGGACTAAGGAGAATTGCACGCAGCATGGGGTGCTTCGGGCGCTTGCTTGCGGCTTGGGGGGTGCGACGATTAACAAGGCAGTCCGTGCCCCGAACACGAATACAAAACTCGAGAAATTAACAAACTAAGCCGGAAATTTTACGACAAAACTCCCTCGCACAACGCACGCTGCAACAACACAACGCTGGGCACGCGGGACAATGGGAATTCCCCACCCTTGTCCCGGACAAGAGAGCGACCCGCTCTCGCTTGCTCGCCCGCCAATCGAAGGCGCCGCTCGCCCGCTCTCGCTTCAACGATGCCACGGCGGCGCCTGGTTGTTGCGAGGCCTCGTCGGCCGAGACGAAAGCCTGGTCGTCGTCCGAGCCTGGGAATGACTACCAGTATCCCACCTTCCCGACTGGGTTGACAAGATACTCGTGGGTCTCGGCCGACGAGGCCTCGCAGGTCGGCACTCCCTCCGACGAGGCGGCAGCAGGTGGCCGGCACACCGACCCGCTCCCAGCGCCTTCGCCCCACTCCGTCTCCGAGGCGGACGTCGCGACCGGTGCTACCAGCCCCGGGGTGCGCGAGATTGTGACCTTTTTTGAGAAGGCCGCGGCAGCCCAGTCGCCGACCAGCATCTTTGACGCGGCGCGCTCGCCTCTCAAGCCGCTCGAGGGCCTCGCCGCGGCACTGCGCCTCACCGGCACTCCTCCGCCCGCGGACGCCGCCGCTGCAAGTCCGATCGCCGATGCAGCCGCCGCCGCGAGCCCTGCCGAGGCGACGCATCTTCCCGCGCCGTCACCGCCGTCTCGCGCGGAGCCTCCGAAGTCCAAGCTTCCGACGCCGCTGCCAGCAGAGCCTGTCACGCCCGGGCACACGGCTCGGACGCCGCCCTCCGCGCCGCACACCTTTGTCTCTCCTCCCGCGCCGACGCCGTCGCGCATCCCCGTCCGGCGCGGCTCAGAGTTGGTCTCGCCGCCGCTCGGGCCGTGGCGGACGCCGCCGCTCGTCAAGGAGGGTGACACCGCCGTCGTCGCTGCCGCCCCGCGGTCGATCGAGGCGGCGCCGCCGACCATGCTCACCCTGCCTGCCCTCGCGGCGCAGAGCAACAAGCGGCACCACCAGCGCCGCCCGGCCGACTCGCCGCTGCCTGAGTCGGTCGCTGGAGCAGGGGTCGTGGTTGCCAACACCGCGCCCCCGCCTGCCGACGAGGGGCAGCCCCCGGATGCCGGCGAGGGGCAGCCCCCGGATGCCGGCGAGGGGCAGCCCCGCGCCATCGAAGAGGCGAGCGGCGCACCGGCCGAGCCGGCCGAGGCCGACGCGGCCGACGCGGCGGCGGCCAAGGCGGACGTGGAGGCGGACGTGAAGGCGGAGGCGGAGGCGGAGGAGGAGGCGGGAGCCGAGGCGGGAGCCGAGGTGGCTGAGGTGGTGGCTGTGGCGTCCACGCAAGAGGCCGCCGCCGCCTCCCCGGATCCGGGGGGCGGGACTCCGACCGCCGAGGCCGTCGAGCGCTCGGCCGAGCCGCCATCCTCCTCGCGGTCGTGGCTCAGTCCAGTGGTCGCTCCCCCTCCTCCCGCGCGGCGGAGCGCGCGGACACCGCAAGCGCCCTGCGGGCAGGAGTCGCCCCAGCCCGCGCCGGCCGCGTCGGCGGGGCCCTCTTCCGCCCCGCAGGCTGCCCCGCCGGCCTCGTCGTGGCTCCTCTCTCCGTCGGAGGCGCCCGCCCTCGTCGCGCAGCAGGCAATCCCCCCCGCCGCCAAGGCGGAGGGATGGGAGGCGGAGGGATGGGAGGCGGAGGGATGGGAGGCGGAGGGATGGGAGGCCGAGGACGACGAGCGGGAGGCCGCGGCGCTGTGTGACTCTGAGGCCGCGCTGCAGTCTGTGCGGGAGGGCGTGGAAGCCGCTCCTGGCGGCGAGGGTGGCGCCGTCTATTTGGTGTGCGCGCCGGAGACGTCCATCAAGGGCGCCGCCGCGCCGGTGGAAAAGGCAGCGGAAGACGGCGCCGCTGACGCCGCCGCCGCTGACGCCGCCGCCGCTGACGCCGCCGCGACTGCCGCCGCCGCCGCCGATGACTCCTCCGACGCCGACGAGGATGCCGCTGCGGACGCCTCTGCGGACGCCGACGTCGCTGCCGCCGCCCACCCGCGGCCGCCAACGCGCCGCACCTCATCTGTGATGATCCAGGCGCGCCGCGCCCACGTGCGCCACC